AACCTCTCTGTGGCTCACGGAGGACCAGGGTATTCCTGGGACAGTAGGCATGCAGAAAACTCCCCTGAAGGACTTGGGGCTGTGTCTGCCAGGGTGGAATTTGCTCAGGGCCCCGGAAATGCAGACAAAACGGTCCCCAAACCTCTCTCCCTCTGCAAGGATCCTAGCTGGCTTCCTGAGATGGTGTACACCAGACCTCCTAGAGTACTTGTTCCTCAAACCATACACACCCTTCCCTCTAAGGTGGGAGGCTGCCTTCCCCATACCCACCTTCTGGGGGAGGGGCGGGGATGCACAGCTCATCAACCCAAGCGGCCTAACAAGGGTGGAAGCAGCAGCCAGGGTTCATGGGCCAAGCTCCTTCTTACAGTGGATGCTGACGTCCAAGCAAAAGAGCATTCCCCTGTCCTCCTTACCCACTCCCACCCTAAAGCACCCAGGCTCCTTCCATTGTAAGGGGGTGAGAGGGTGGTGCTCATTAGAGGCTGGTATGGACCTTTCTTTACCTTCTTCTTTTCCCTGTAGCACAAGAAGGATAACTCACACCCTGTGATCTCTGTCGGGGTGTCTTTGCCCAGGGCCAACCATAATCTACCCCGGGGTTCCCAGTACACTGTCCACCGCTGCATATGATCCAGGCGGTAGGAGTTCAGGGGATGCCTTGCCAGATGGTAAGCTCCTTGCTGAGCCCCTACAGGCCTGAAGCTCAGAGGAAAGAGAAAGTACTCGTTCTTCTCCCTGTCTGCCCTTCCCCCGCCTGCACACCTGCCACTTCGTCCATGTAAGGGGAAGCTAGTACCTGGGACCTGGGCGCCCCTGGGTTCAGATGGAGACTTTACAGAGGGTAAGGCTCCAGCCCGGTTAGGTGAGTATACAAATCCCTATGCAAATCAGATGCAAATCTGGGGCCTGCCCTCGGGTTCCTGGCAGGCAGCCCATTCAGGCACCTGGGTGCCTGAGAGGATCTGTCAGGCTGGGGGCTGAGAAATGAAAGCATTAATGGAGCTGGGGGGTTCTCTCTTAACTGATTCAAATGTCCCCAAGATCATATGAGAGGGTAGATTCCCCTGCTTAAAACCAACCCCCTAAGAAAAGCATTCACTCTGAACATCCACCTCCCCGTCTCCTCACCCACAAATCAAATCGCCCTTCACTAGCCTGGGCAAGGGACCGCGCTGGTCACAAGGCTGGAATTCTGGAAGGCCAGAAGGGTGTAAGCAAACCAAAAACCAAACTTACTGCCATTGAGCAGGTTACAACTCATGGCACCTCATAGGACAGGATAGAAATGCTCCTGTGAGTTTCCAAAACTGCAACTCTTTACTGGAGTAAAAAACCCTCATCTTTCTCCTACAGAGTGGCTAGTGGTTTCAAACGTTTGACCTTGCTGTTCGCAGCCCAATTTGTAATCACTTGACCACAAGGACCACTGAGAGCCTAGGAGATGCTCTGTGGCTTAGAGGAGGGCTCCCCACTTGCCTGCTAAGGAGCCCTGTTTCTCTGACAGGTCATTACCAAGCCAAACCCATTTGTGTGTCCACCACCTCTGTTCCTCGAGCTAGGAAAACTCAGCCTCTCCAGCCAGTCCCCTGGGAGCCCCGCAACTTGAGCGTTGCCTGTGGGTCAACTGCTTGCTAGCTTTTTGTTTCTAATTGAGCTCCCCATTCTGCTGCAGAAATATATCACAGGCAGCTGGCTTTGATGCCCAGAAAAATGAAGCTTCAGGAAGGTGTGTTGGGCATCGGGGCACCTCTGTCCTCCCTCACATTCTACCGACTGGCCCCTTCTCAGGCCCACGGGTCCCTGGTCTCCTGTCCCTCACTTGTGTTTGCCATCTCAAGATTTTAAAAACACATTATCTGGGTGCAGTCCCCCCCTTTTTAAAAAATGAGCCACCGAATGGAGTGTTCAAGATTTTCTTAATGGCCTGATGGAGGCTTTTCCTTTGGTCTTCTCCAGAGAGAAGAGCCATGAGCCCCCATCGGAGTGGTTGGGGTGGGAAATGGGGAAAGAAAGAAAGAAAAAAATCAATGCAACCCATTATTTTGGCTTTTAGAAAACAGGAATTTTAGTGCCGGGGAAGCTTGTTCTTTTACACAGTAAAAATGCAAATGCAGGCAGTACAGATGCTGGCACGCTGGATAGAACGACAGAGCGAGCCTCGCTGGGGTGCAGCCGGATGCCCAAACCTGAATTTGCTTTGGCAATAACCAGGCAGTTACTGGAGACTTGATAACCAGTGGTTGAAACACCTCCCTGGTTTCTTTCTGAGGCATCCGTCTGAGCTGGGGCTTCATCGAGAAAAGAAAGTGGGGGCAAAAAGGAAAGGTCTTTCAAGAGGAAAGGGGAGAAGAGACGCTCAAAACACATTCAATAACTGCTTAATTCCATCCAAAGGAGGCCCCATCTCATCCTGTTCTCTCTCCTCTCTCTCTGCCTCCAGCTCCTCACAGATGGACGGACAAATTATTGTAAGAGGATATTGTTTTCTGTAACAGGCTCGAACATTCACATTTACATTTTCCTTGGTGCCGCGGGGGTGACTGGCAACGGGAGAGAAAAATACATCGAACCCCATCTTTTCTGCTCACGCCCGCATCCCATT